CGCTCTGCGTTACTTCCTTGCTCGTGAGCTGCAGCAGCGTGGTCAGCTGCGCCTTGCTTACGTGGCCTCTCGGGGCAACATTGCTGATATCTTTACCAAGGCACTTCAGCCTTGTGATCATCAGCGCTTTTGTACGATGCTAGGTCTTGTGCCTACTTGGCCGCACTTGCTCACTTCTTGACCTTGCTTTGTACTGTGTTCTATATACGTGCTCTTGGTTGTTTCCCTTTATATATAATCCTGCATGTGAACTGGCCTTGTGGCCTTGAACCTGTGCTCGGAATGTGTGGTGACGTTGTGATCCACCCTGAGCTTGCTTTGCTTTGCTTTGCTTGACTGGTCTTATGACCCCTTGTTCTCCCCCACTTTGCCTATGGGGGTGTGTCAAATTATATAGGGGTTATACATTTGTAGGCTGTAGTGGGTTAGCACTAGGGGGTACAGTATTTTTCTCGACATTCTTCTTGTACCCCTCCTTCACCCAATCCCATCATTCCCATAATCTCCTTTCACATCGGGTTCAAATACTTAAGTGCAATTAAGGCATCCCTGTGCGAAGGGGTGTCAGAGGTGCATTGGAGATTCACGATTGATCATAGGGAAGGGTTACAGACATGCTGGCCTGGAGGGTTATGGACGCACTCACCCGCTACACAAACAAGCCCTTTATCCCAGTGGTTAATGGCTGAGATTTTGATAATAGTCGACCCTCAGAGGCCAATGCTGCGGACCCTCTCGCTGCCCCCCCTCCTCACACGCTACCCTTAGTGCATATTTACTGCCACGCGTGCGACAGTTACGTGCGCCTTGTTGCCATGCGCGCTGCTGCTGCTCGCGCTTTTGTCTTGTGTGCCCTGCTGACCTGCACACCACACACCCTGCTTTCTTGCGTGCCTTTGCGCCGCATGCCGCTGAACTGCGTTGCCTTGCGCGGCGTTGCCCTAAACCAATTTTGCCTGCGTACACCCGCTCCCACCACAGTTGCAGCTGCTGCTGCTACAGCCATTAAAATTGCAGCAGCCGCTTCACCTGCCGCTTAGGCTGCCGTAGCTCCCGCAGCTACTGCTACAGCTGCCAAAGTCGCTACACCTGCCGCTACTACTACAACCACTGCCGCTACTTTTAGCGCTGCTACAGCCGTCGCTGCCACCGCCACTACTGCTCTAACGACCGCTGCCCCTACTGCTGCTGCTGCTGCTGCAGCTGCTACATCCGCCGCTTCCGCCGCTGGCCCTGCTTCAACTGCCACTACCACCGCCACAACTACTGCTGCTGCTGCTGCTGCTGCAGCCGCCGCTAACCGCCTCTAGAAGCCGCAGCTGCCATTACCGCCGCAGCTGCTGCTACAACCACTGCTGCTTCTACCGCTTCCACCGCTAGAGCTGCCTCCGCCGTCCTTGCTGCAGTAGCACCACCCGTCACTACCGCTACAGCTACGGCAGTCGCTGCTACTGCCGTTACTGCCGCCGCTGCTACTGCTGCCGCTGCTACAGCCGCTGCTGCCGCTACAGTCGCCCGTACTACCGCTGCAGCTGCCGTCGCCGCTGCAGCCATCAGTGCTGCTACCGTGGTTGCTACCACTGGAACTACCGCTGCTGTTACTTCTACTACTACTGCCGTCGCCCATTGCTACTGCCCGTCCGCCGCGCCGTTGCTGCTGCAGCCTGTGCACTACTGCTGCTGCGCGCCACTGCCTACCATGGCGACTGCTACTGTGCTAACGTTTTACGCAGAGGGCCGCCGATAGAGTATGAGTCATGGCTGAAGGACCTTCACCTGTACCTGCAGAGTGTTACCAAGGATGATGCCTTACTGCTTGAGCACACGTCCGGATCCCTTAAGGCCCCACTCACTCCTACTGACCCTAGTCCTTTTGCTAGCGAACTGAGTGACAGAAGTATAAGACTGATCATATTGCCTTTACCCAGTGGCTTTCAGGCGATGCCACTACCCAGCTTGCTGTCCGCAACCACCTCCCACTAGGCCTGAGGCCCCACTTCCGCCAGCTCAAGATGGCCAAAGCGTTCTATGACGCTGTAGTCAAGTGCTCTCCCCCTCTTCTACTGCCTTAGGCCGTCTAGCACTGCTGTTACTCTGCCCTAAGCTGTCCGACTTTGTCACTGTAGCCGACCTCATTACTCATCTGCACTCACTTGATACGCGAAATCGTGCTGCTCTCTCACCAGATTTTTTTGACTGCGAAACAGCCCCCTATGTTTCTCACTCTCTACTTCCTCAAAACTCACCTCCTTGACTCTCGGCGCACTATTCGAGACTACTTTCTCTCCCTAGACCCCACTGAGATCATTCTTGCCTCGTTTGAGTCTCCCCCTCCTAGGACCTACTATTGCCTCTGTGGCTGCTGTTGACTTCCTTAGTGATGAGGAGGATGGTGCTGTGTCTGCTCCAAGTAGGAGGCGCTGCAGCAAGGGTGGGCATAAGAAGGGTGGGGGCGGAGGGGGTGGTGGAGGGCAAGTCACGAGTTCGAATCCCAGCGCCGGCAATTTGTTGCTCATGGCAGCATTTCCTTCTAACACGCCCCCTTGCTGTCAGGAGCACGCTGTACCAGTCCAGCTGCTGCACAACATCGGTTGAAGGCTGCCTTGTCGAGCCGCTTCGTGAAGAAGTCCGCGGGCTGTGCCGTCGTAGGGATGTGCTGCAGCTCTAGCTTCTTCATGCGCACCATGTCTTGCAGCTACATGTGGCGACGGTCCACATGCTTCATGCGCCCCTGCAGCCCGCCCGCCTGGCTGAGCTGCACCGCTGACATGTTGTCGACGTACAGGGTGGTGGGAACACCCTTCTTGAGTAGCTGAAACTCCCACAGCAGGAACCTCAGCTTGCGCCCCTCCTTTCCTGCTTCCACCGCAGCCACAAGCTCGCTCTCGGTGGAGGAGAGCTTGGTCGCACCCTGCAGCTTCTTGGCCTGCCAAGAAACGGCAGCTCCGCCAAGCTTGAAGAGGTAGCCTCCCGTGGACGAACGGTTCTCCTTGTCGCCCGCATCATCCGCATCCGCATACCCCACCAGAGTCAAGCTCTCTGGTCCTCCCGTGAACAGCAACCCCGTGTCTGGTGAGGCAGCCCAGTAGGAGAGTGTGCGGAAGAGCTCATGCCAATGCGCATCCGTCCTGAGGTGTGCACCTGCTGCAAGACGGCTGCACGCAAAAGAGAGGTCAGGACGGGTTGAGATGGCTGCAAACTGCACCATGCCGAGAATTGACAGGTACTCAGTCATGGTTCGGTCGGCAAATTGCCCGGCATCCTGCTTGGCAAAGCTGGCGAAGGAGAGAGGGGTGATGGGCTGCTTCTTTGGTGGCGCCCCCTTGAAGAACCGCTGCTGCACCTTCGCCACGTACGCATTCTGGTGCAGGAGGAGTGTCCTGTTGGGGCGGTCGCGCACAATCTGCAGCCCCAGGTAGCGCTCCACTGGCTCCACCTCACGGAGCTGAAACGCCTTGGCCAACAGCTCCTTCAGGTCCTGCAGCAGCTGCTTGTCTTCACTTGCCGCTAGCAGGTCATCCACGTAGATTAGCAGCCACACGCGCTTCCCGCTCGACCCATCCTTGTAGTATAGGGCCTGGTCCACAAGGCTCTTCCTGTATCCCTCCACAAGGAGCACCTTGTCCAGCTCCTTGTACCACAGAAGGGGACTCTGCTTGAGTCCGTAAAGGCTCTTGTGCAGGAGGCACACCTTGCTGCTGCCGTCGGTGAAGTAGGGCGGCTGCTGCATGTAGATCTCATGGTCGATGGTGCCGTGAAGAAATGCATTCTTCACATCAAGCTGCAGCAAATCCAGGTCCATAGCTGATGCGATTGAGAGGAGCACGCGAACGGTGGTGTAGCTGCCAACAGGAGCATAGGTGTCGTCGTAGTCGATCCCGAAGCGCTGGCTAAAGCCCTTTGCCACGAGCCTGGCCTTATACTTCTCCACGGTGCCATCAGGTCGCAGCTTCTTCTTTAGTAGCCACTTCACGCCGACTGTTTTGCGACCTTCGGGTAGGTCGGCCAACGACCAAGTGCCTTGCTCATCAAGGCTCTCCATCTCCTCCTTCATAGCAGCCCACCATTCCTTGCCTTCAGGTCCGGTCAACGCAGCTGCCAGGTCGAGGATGACACCTCCCCAAGCGCCTTCCTCCTCCTCATCCTCGTCCGGGTACTCCACTTCGTCATCGCTGTCCGTGTCGCAGTCGTCCTCAGCAAGGTACGCCATGTCGTACGGGTTCTCCTCCTCGTTCGCATCATGGGCAGTCAGGGCTGAGGGCTGGAACCGTACGGGTGGCACCCCCTTGTTAGGCCTGCTGGAGCGACGTGGGGGTTGTGGAATGGGCTGGATGGGAGGAGCTGCAAGTGAAGGCTCATGCGCATGAGCCACAGGCGGCTGCTCATTCACTGCGACCTCTCCTTCCTCCTCGAGAGCAGCCGTGTCGCCCCCGTCCTCAAGGGAACCATCCTCTGGTCCCACAGGCGCTGAATCAGCAATGGAGGGTGGACCGAGAGGAGGTGGTGCAGTAGGTGCCTTGCTGCCCAAAGGGCCCACCGAGCGATCAAGGGGTTGCTCGCCCCCTTGCACGGACGGCACCGGGACCACGATGACGGTACGTGGTGGTGGCAGATTCTGCTCGGGGTCTTGGGGCTCAGGAAAGACATCACAAAAACCCTATGCCAAGTTTGGACGAATTTTGATTGCGATTGTCTTCGCGTAAAAAAATCCGGACCCAATTTCGACCGACGGTTGGAGTCGTTTGATAGGAGCTCCGACACACATCTCGCGACAAGGCTTGGCTCGGGTCAAGTTCCAAATTGGCACGCGTGCTTTTCCGGAAGACATTCGCGCGCAATCCGTTTTGGTGCAATTTCGTGACCAGATCATTTAAAATAGATTTTATTTTTTGTTTTATTTATGGGCTTGAGGATCTCAGAATTACATTCAATATTCCGGTTTACAGCAACCATTATTCAGCATTGTAACAACAAGCAGTTTTAACACCTAGTGAAATAGCCTACTCAATGGTGGGCCCTGCAAGCGCCCGGTGGGCAAGAACAACATCTCCAAGGTCGCCATCGTCGATGAGGAACTTGTTCGGGAAGACGAACGCACCCTGAGCCGGATCGTGTGGGATGCGTCGCTCCACGACGGCAAAGTGTATCATCTGTTTGACCTTGTCACACCATTCGAAGTAGTCCGGCCTGTTTTGTTCCGGCTGGGCCGGAATTCGCTTGCGGCGCTTGTCCTGCAGAAGGGGCCACTCGATCTGCAATGTGGTGTAGGGTTGGGTGGATGGTGTATGAGGGGGGGTAACGGGTATATGCTCCAGCTGAACCAGGTGAAGACGACACATCCTACGTAACCGCAAACGCCTAAGCGACCAGGGATTTAGATGAAGTACAGGCAAGGGGTTTAGGGGATGATGCATGGGTGTAGAGACACATATCTACCTCCTTACCGAAAACAGGCCCCATGCCACCATGCGGCTCTTGAACTTGGTGAACACGACCCCGCTCCTCTTGAAGGAGAGCTTGAACGCATAAGCAAACAAGGGGTTGCTGAAGGGTGTTCCGGTGGCCTTGTCAAAGTGCCAGTTGAGGGCCCACTGTTCTGCATTTTGGAGGGAGCGTATGGGTTGGAAAGGGGGTGCAGATAGATCAGGTGGGGGGGTGAGAGACAGGGTCAGAGTACCACGACACGGTTATTTGTAGCTGCTGACTGGCTTATGGGCAGGGGGATATGGTGTGTTTGAGACGCACATACCATCTCTGTACTCCGCCAGGAGTTGCTCGTCGTTGAACCACTTCTTTGGGTGTAGCTCAGTGGGCAGGCAATCCACCGCATTGGCGTAATCGGAGAGACCCATGCCGGCGTACGTTGCTGGCCTGAGGGTGGTGTTGATTGTTGACCTGGTTGATGACATCTGGTGGTTGAAAACACCCATGGTTGACTTGTCATTGTGCAACCACAGCAGCTTCATTGACTCTAGCCCCTCGGCAGACAAGTGGACAGCGAAGGCCTCGAACACTTCCTCCGGTGCAGGGTAATACTGAATTTTCTCCGGGGGGGTTCAGAAACAGGAGCTGAGAGCACACTAAGTAGGCTTTGCTCTGCGCAGGGGTGTGGGGTTTACAACACGACACGGGGAGAGAGAAATTATGAGTAATGACTGTGGCCGGGTGACCACAGGATGGACTGTAGGAACTTTCCACGTCAGCCCCCACCCCTCACATCCCGCCACGTCACACCCTCCTGCATCCGCCACGTCAGGGAACAACAACCAGGCCCACGTGCCACGTCACACCCACCCACCCCATGCCACGTCACCCCCTCACCCACCTGACACGACCAGCATCGTCACGCGCCACTCCCGTGTAACCTTCCAGGCCGCCACGTCAGCCCCAAGCCTCACATCCCGCCACGTCACACCCTCCTGCATCCGCCACGTCAGGGAACAACAACCAGGCCCACGTGCCACGTCACACCCACCCACCCCATGCCACGTCACCCCCCACCCACCTGACACGACCAGCATCGTCACGCGCCACTCCCGTGTAACCTTCCAGGCCGCCACGTCAGCCCCAAGCCTCACATCCCGCCACGTCACACCCTCCTGCATCCGCCACGTCAGGGAACAACAACCAGGCCCACGTGCCACGTCACACCCACCCACCCCATGCCACGTCACCCCCCCACCCACCTGACACGTGTCGCCTGGTCCCGCGCCGCTCCCGTGTAACCTTCCAAGCCGCCACGTCAGCCCCACCCCTCACATCCCGCCACGGCACACCCTCCTGCATCCGCCAAATCCACCAACGACCATCCCCACGTGACACGTCACACCCACCCTCCCCATGCCACGTCACCCCCCACCCACCGGACACGCGTCGCCTCGTCCCGCGCCGCTCCCCTGTACCCGTCCAAACCGCCACGTCAGCCCCAACCCTCACATCCGCCCACGTTACACCCACCCACCCCATGCCACGTCACCCCCCACCCACCCCATGCCACGTCACCCCCCACCCACCTGAAGGCTCTCGCCCCGTCATGCGCCGCTCCCTTGCATCCGTTCAACACCACCACGTCATATCTCAACCCTCACCTTTTTTGCCACGTCACACGCCCTTGCGTCCGCCGCCTACACCAACAGCTCAACCCACTTGCCACGTCGCACTCAGAGATCCGAAAGAGCCACGTCAGCCCCCGCCCACCTGTGGAGCCACGTGTCACCCTGCACCGCTCCCACGCACCCTTTCCAACCGCCACGTCATCCCCAACCCTTCCCTGGTTGCCACGTCAACCCCAACCCGCCACATACCGGGAATGGGTTGGTCTCCCGAAGCACAAGCACACGTGCCCTGTCCACGGCACTCATCGGCGGCGGGGTACCAGCCATAGGCACCACTGCAGTCCCCCCGGCATAGCTGGCAGTTGCTCCACGACGCAGGCCGAGCTGAGCAAACATGGCGTACATCTCAGACCGTAGCTGCTGGAACTCGTCTCGTGTAACAAACTGCCCATGCTCTGCACCTTCGCCCAGCGCATCCATGACATCCGGAAAAGGGTGTGTAGAAACCCCTCTCTGGCCAAGGGGATCAACGTCTTCAGCAGCAGCCCCGTGTGCCCTCACACTATCACGCTGGCGGGGAAAGGGAGGCTCAGGGAAGGGATTGGCAGAAGTGCTTGGTTGATGCCCGCGCGATGGACCAGCGAGGGGGGAGACCGCCCTGCCCCGGACAGGAGAAGCGTGTAGTGGCCGAAATGGGTAAGAGGGAGAGGCGAGTGGGGAGTGCGTGACGGGGGCTGGTGGAGGGGATTCGGATTCCTCTCCTGTAGCCGCGCCGGGTGCAGTCGCAGCGACTTTGCTCGGGCCGGAGTATGGCGTGAAGAACCTTGGTGCTCCTGTGGATAGCGGTGCCACACTCGCTCTTCCGGCCCCTTTCGTTAGCTGCATCCGTTGCACGCTTACCGGTGGCCCAATGCCTGTAACACGGGGGGCTGAGAGTCACACGGAGGATGAGCACGGAGATGGTGTCTGCTATGTACATTTGGACACATGCACGCAAACGAGTAACCGCATGATTCAGACAGGGGTGTAGCTGGGAACTGTAGTGTATAGTCACGCCTTACCCGGTTTAGCCGATTCGTCAACCTTCTCCTTCCCTGCGGCGGGGAAACACGGGGTGGAACACGGTGTTGTTAGGGTCTGTTCATCACAAACCACGGCAGCTATGCCATGCGTTTGTGACACTTTGCGTACCTCGTTGCTGTCCCTTCGGTTTTGCTGCCTGCTCCTTATCGTTGCCCCCTTTCCGCGGTGTGCTTCGGCGGGTGCTGCCTCGTTTACGGGCAGGTTCCTTCTTTGCCGAACCTACAGGTACCCCTTTCGCGCGCCTTCCCTTTCCTTCTCCATCGCCTGCCCCACCCTGTCTCCCTTGCTTCCTTCCACCCCGGTCAGTTTCGACCTTCACTTTACGCGCCTTCGATTTGCCCGCTGGGCCGCCACGCATTGCGTCAACCGCCCCGCGTTTCCGGGATTGACCAGACCGGCCCCCCACCTTCCCTGTGCCACTCCCCCGTCTGCCTCGCGTGCCCCGTCCTTTCCCTGCCGGCTCCTCCTCCTCCTCCTCTTCCTCATCCGCCCCTTCCTCCACCTCCTCTTCCTCCACGTCGTCCTCCTCCTCCTCATCCTCCTCCTCACCATCATCCTCCTCCTCCTCCTCCTCCTCCTCCTCCTCCTCCTCCTCCTCCTCCTCCTCCTCATCCTCCTCCTCCTCCTCCTCCTCCTCCTCCTCCTCCTCACTCTTTTCCTCCTCAGGCTCGTCATCCCCCTCATCGTCCTCCTCCTCGTCCTCATCCTCATCCTCATCGTCCTCCTTCTCCTTCCCCTCGTCGCCATCCTCATCCTCCTCCTCCTCCTCATCATCGTTGTCCTCCTGCTCATCCTCGTCCTTTTCTTCCTCCCCTGCATCCTCGTCCTCCTCCTCCGCATCCTCCTCGGCCTCCTCCTCCCCATCCCCCTCGTCCTCAACATCCGCTTCACCAGGGCCTTCTTTGCCGCGCTTCGGCCTCTTCCCCCTCGAGGCTTGCTTGCCCCCCCGTCCGCTAGATGGTTTCCGCGGACCGGGTCGGCCCTTTTGCCGCAAAGCATGATCTGTCGCCAAGCCACTTGGCTCCGTGGTGCCTCGCGTTGTCCCAACTTCAGCACCACCGGCGTCGTCACCGCTGGCTGTCGTCTGCCTCCTCTTTGCGCGTATGGGGATGTCCTCGGCCACGGGGGTGTCATACTCCTCCTCCCCATCGCTCTTCCTCTGCCTACGCCTCCCGCGTCCCCCAGAGGGAGGAGATCCACCGACGTCGGCAATGTCGTGTTTCGGCTCCTCCGTGCAATCGTGCGCAGCATTCTTCTCCTTATCTATCACTGCAGCAGATACTTCGACCACGGGCGGGGGGAGCAGCGTCATATGCTGCTGTGATGCCTCTGCCACGGACACCACAGTTGCGGCCTGGTCGTCGCCGGGAGCCTCGCCGTGCTTTCCTCCAGTCGCCAAGCCCTCTCTGTCCCCCGGCCGGACGGCAACACTCACGCCGCCACGCCCAGGGTCTTCGTTCCCGCCGATGGTGCCGTCGTCGGAAGGACCGGGCTCGAGGGCAGCAGTGGCAACACCCGCATCGCTCTTCACGGCCGAAACACGCTTGCGTGCCGTTGGTTGCTTCCCCTTGTCCTCCGCCTTCTTCCCGGACTTCTTCGTTCCAACCTCAGCCTTCTTCCCCGCCGCACGTTTCCTTTGGTTGGTTTGCGCGGCGGCCGCTTTAGTAGCCCTAGATCTGGCCCCACCCTCATGGTCGGTCTGTATCGACATCCGCCGTGTCGTGCGTCATTTTGCCTGCTCCTTCTCCTTTTCTGTTTGCCGAGTTGCACGTGTCATGAGGGTTGTACGAATGCAAGTTATAACTTGCGGGATTGTTTAGCCAGCTTAAGAAAATAACCTAAAGAATTGTTACTAATTTACTCCGTCCCGGTCAAGCCAATACTGTCTCACCCTAAATCTCAGGTACGGTTACAACTGAAGAAGTAGCTACTAAGCACATGGCGTCAGCCCTTTGCTTCGTCGCTACTCTGACTCACTGGCGATCTGGAAACACCTGTGTTCAGCATCGAGCGGCGTCAAGGTAGTGGGTATGAGGGTGACGGAAGATGGTGAGTGGGGCACGACGGTCGTTGGGGTGGTTTGCGAGTCTAGAGAGGGGACTGTAAGCAGACAGCCACAATCGGACGGTCTACGATTAGCCACCCGATCAATAACCCACTAAACGCGGGATCACAGCCGCTGCTTCCGCGGCGAATGTCCAGCTTGGCTGGTCCGGTCATGGGGAGGGGGGTCGTTTGAGATGCGTCGGCCAATCAGCGCCGCTCGCATCAATCTCCGCAGAATCTAGTACCGTTTCGACACCACCAATCATCGCATCCTGCAAAATACAGTGCCAATGTGCATTGATCAAATTTAAACATAGGAGCAGAATACACTTGCAAAGAACAACTAAAACCATTTGTATTGAACTTGGCCGCTTGTGGTGTCATGTTGTGTTAAGTCTAGGGAGTGCATCTGGCATCGGACACGCTCTTTGACCTACCAACTCGTGGACTATGGAATGCTATATTGAGCACACATTCAGGGTTGGCGAGGGCTACCGGTCGTTGGAACTTGTTCAGGCACGACGTGTACTAGTGCCAACTGGAATGGAGATGTGGTGTGGTGTTGGCGTGTAAATTCATGCGTGGGCCCTCGACATGGTGTATAGAGGGTGTGGAATGAAGCACAGGTCCAACGCACGAGCGAGGGTGCGTTATCGACAGCGCTGTTCCAACGCGGCGACGTTGCAGCGTTCGCAGACATCCAGGGCTTGCGCGAGATGGTGAATCCGTAATGGAATGGTGCTGGCTTGGGCTCTATCCTTGCGTGGGCCCTCGACATGGTGTATAGAGGGTGTGGAATGAAGCACAGGTCCAACGCACGAGCGAGGGTGCGTTATCGACAGCGCTGTTCCAACGCGGCGACGTTGCAGCGTTCGCAGACATCCAGGGCTTGCGCGAGATGGTGAATCCGTTATGGAATGGTGTTGGCTTGGGCTCTATCCTTGCGTGGGCCCTCGACATGGTGTATTGAGGCTGTGGAATGAAGCACAGGTCCAACGCACGAGCGAGGGTGCGTTATCGACAGCGCTGTTCCAACGCGGCGACGTTGCAGCGTTCGCAGACATCCAGGGCTTGCGCGAGATGGTGAATCCGTTATGGAATGGTGTTGGCTTGGGCTCTATCCTTGCGTGGGCCCTCGACATGGTGTATAGAGGGTGTGGAATGAAGCACAGGTCCAACGCACGAGCGAGGGTGCGTTATCGACAGCGCTGTTCCAACGCGGCGACGTTGCAGCGTTCGCAGACATACAGGGCTTGCGCGAGATGGTGAATCCGTAATGGAATGGTGCTGGCTTGGGCTCTATCCTTGCGTGGGCCCTCGACATGGTGTATAGAGGGTGTGGAATGAAGCACAGGTCCAACGCACGAGCGAGGGTGCGTTGTCGACCGCAGCGTCTAAACAGGCGACGCTGTAGCGGTCAGGCCTTGGGTGTTGCGCAACAAGGTGAGTCCGTTGTGGTACGGTGTTGGATTGTCCTCTAGCCTTAGACAGATATTCAAGTAGGTGCCTCTAAGGGGTATGAATGAGAGGCCCAACGCACAAGCGGCGATGCGTTATCGTGAGGGCACGGAGTTCTTGTGTACTTCCCGTATGTAGCCAGATCACACAAGAGATGAGAGGATATGGTGTTCAGACTGTCACGTTGTCAACTAGGGGTGGATATCGAGCAGGTCTTTTCATATGACTATGTCCTAGTTATCAACAAAGACTTTACTGTGTAGAGAAAAAACAAATCTACAATGTACTATCATTGTATTTGGGCTATGGTCAAGCGCAACACTATGCGCTCACTTACGTGTGCGCGATTTCCCCCCTATAACGCTTCGCGACTGCATCACAGATCCAAATGGATCTCTTCCCGCTCTTCCTCATCCCACTCGACTCTCATGCACCAAGGGTGCGTGAATCCACAGGCACGTCGTTCTCACCATGCTCGCAACGCACACACACGACCCACCGTCTTAAGATCAGGCGCATTTCCCGCTGCTCACGACGTGGTCTGTCTAAACGGGGGCGACACGCCTTGTAGGGAAGACGATCCGTGCTGTGAGCGGTCTGTACCGTGCCTTGTCACGACCGCGCGGCTCGAACATCGTTTGCCAGTCCCAAACATCGTTAAGCGGCCCGCTCAAGTGCCAGTCGTGCAGTGATACAAGCCGCCTTCGACAGTGCGCGGTTTGGCGATGACCTGGTTGCATTAACAGCCTTCTTGAACGGTGTACTTAATGCCTTCTCAAGCTTCCCACGACGCTAGTTGCTTCACAGGCCATTTCTCAACACTTAGACAGATCCGTAAAGCATGGGCTCCTTGCCTGGCGTCGTCTGCGAGTTCTGCAACAGATGGTTCCCCAACGCCCAAGTTTATGGCGGTCATAAGTCACGGCGGACCCCTTGTCAAGGCCTTTCCGCCGTGGCAAGGCCCTCGCAATCTGCACCGTCAGCCGGTCTACACGCACTGCTATTCGTCCACGACATTCTGTCGGACGCTCCCGCTGCTCCCGCTTCCCCTACCGCGTCTAACGCGTCCAACACCGACGGTGTGAATGGTCCTCCTCGCGTCCCGGTAGCTGACGAGGACGCAACACCCTCGGCTGTGAACGTGGGGGCTCCTGAATCTGAGCATCAACCGTCACCAGAAACACCTGCAGATGACACGAGTGAGCATCAGGGGTGCCGCCCTGGAGTGAGTCACGCGGCACCGCCGACAATCATTTCCGGGGAGAGCAATGCGTCGCCCCTCAGTCTGATTGCGTTGAAACTGCTGCATTTCGTGAGGCGCGTAAATGGCGGAATGGGCATGGCGGAGATCGACATCAATGGCCTGCTTCAGCTCGTGGTGGAGCCCGGCCTTGCGCCTCTTGTGATCTCAGAGATCCGGAACTGCAAGGATCTGGAGCGGTTCGAGATGGAGCGCTTGGTAGGGCTCAATCGCGGATGGTCAGTGGCGACCTTCGAGATTGAGGGTCATCCGCCACAGCGCCTCCTCTTCCAGAACTCCGCGCAGGTAAGCCGACTCTGGAACCGTGGATGCGAACTGCAGATTCCGCATCCTTGTGGAGCTTGTTGGGAATGTTGCCTTTGTTAGGCATGTGTGCGATCTGGCCCGTGAAACGCTCCCGCCACTAAACCAGGGTTTGGTTCTCTCCCGCTCTTGATCCCGCACTCCAGGCGTTTGCTGAACTGTTTGGGCACACCAACAACGCACCCGGCTTCAAGCTCAAGGCTCGTGTTGATGAGGACCCTGACACAGGCGAGCGTCGCTATACCACGCCAGAAACAGGAACGTGGTGGAACGATGCTCAGGTATGTAAATAACCCGCTGCCACCCAAAACCACACGCGTGCGCATGCGTCCGTTGATGCGCTGATGTGTAGGCAGCATCTTCAGTGCGTCATCTTCGTGGGGAGTTTTTTGTATCAGGCTCAATCCGCCTGGCGACACTTTACCTTGATGGTGTTTGACCGTGTGTTGTTTCCGTCTTTGTCGTGCAATGCAGGAACACTTCGGATGGTCCGAAGTCGTGGGGGGTATCATCCTATATTCAGATATGACGCACATGAGCAACAACGGCCGGAAGAAGGCGTGGCCGCTCATGATGACGCTTGCCAACATCTCCCAGGCCAAGCGATGGGGGAAAGCCGGGCACACGCTACTTGCTCTCCTTCCTATCCCCCCTTCTGCAATGACTGCCGTCGAGAAGGTGATGCTCTTCCAGCGATGCGTCATCACCGTGCTGCAGCCGCTTCTTGATGGCATGGACAGGTCCGTACTCGATTTCCGTCATGCTATGTCGTCACCGTAGCAACAGCATAGCGTGCGCAGCGTTTTTGTATGTTGCATTACCCTTTGCCCCTCCTCGCTGATGCACAGAGTCGTCCTGGCTGTTGCTGTTCCCACTCTACCCGTTCCTCGCAGCGGCCTCCGTCTCAAGGACCCTTTCGGCGATTGGCAAACAGTGCGGCCTCTACTGTACGCCTGGGTGTGCGACTATCCCGAGAGCGGCAAGATCAGTTGCACACTCTCGCATGGATCGCGGATGCCGTGCAGCATCTGCTATGCTGCAAAGGTGAGCAAACATGCCAGCTGCGCGCCTTCAGCACCATCGTCATCTGAATGGCACGTGACGGACCTCCTAATCTTACCTCCCTTACCTGTTCATCCCTTCCAACCTCCCGTGCTACACCAGGAGCATTTGGTTGCTGTCAAGGCACGGAACACGCCGCGCACGCCTGAACAGCAGCAATGGATCGTGAATGAGGCGGCTGGGTTGACATCAAGCCAGGCCGACCCATGCAAGACCTACTCGACCTACCCGGTTGAGGTGAGCAACCTGTCCCCTTCGCTAATTTGTAGTCTATGCACTCCGTATTGCTAAACCCAGGGGGAGATGTGCACTGCCATTGCACTGCCCCACATGTTGGCCGAGTCTCTCATATACCCTTCTCTACCATTCCACACCACAACCCCTCCGCTGGTGTGTGCTGTGGAAGTGGGATGTCCCAGGGACCGTGTGGGGCAATCCCTACCTCGTTATCATGCCTGACATCATGCACCAGGCGGACCTGGGCATGATGAGCCACATTGTGGCTGTCGTGCGCAAGATGAAGAAGCGGCGCGTGAAGCAGATGGACAGGTCAGTGCCTTGGGGGATTAGTTTCTTGTCAACAACACTCCAATACGCACTCTCCTCCTACTTACATGTCTCTGCATTTGTGCCGGCCTTGAACTGTTGTGTATGCGCAGGCGCCTGTCCCTCATTCGCGACCGCACGCGCCTGAACCACCTGCGCCTGCCAGAGAGCGCGTACTTCGAGAGTGGAGCATGTGTCGCGGCCTATGAGCACAGGGCCGTCATGCAGGTGTGCAAGCCATGGTGCATGTGATCATCTTGTGCGATAGCATGCACCATGCAGAAGCAGCTTGCCGGTTCTAGACTACAACACACCCCCTGCTGCATCTCAGTACCCTCTCTCCTGCTTTGCAACAATTCCGCCACCAAACCCGTTTGCTCAACTTCTCATGCCCCCCTGCCGTCATAAACCCCGCAATTTGCAGGTCATGGTGTTTGTCTTTGCTGGCCTGCTTCGCCAGCCCCAGATGGATGCTGTTCGTGCCTACCTTGGCTGGTACCTCTTGTGTTGCCAGCCAACGGGGCACACCGAGCGGTCCCTGCGGGATCTCAAGAAGAAGACCTCCCGGTACTATTAACATGCATGTACTACCCTTAGGCATTGCATGAATGCCTGGCCAAGACACTAAAGCTGTTGTAGTAACCTATCTTCTCAGGTTGTTGCTGATAAAACATGATAGTATATCAAATAAAGTAGGCTGCAGTAGGCTATAGTACTAGACTCTCATGTCCTTGCATATGCTGTCAACTCCCACTCCCATCAGGCTGGTTGAGCAGTTGCAGGCTGCTTTCCCAAAGCAGCCATCCTCTTGGTGCCTTGTGAAAACCCATCTCATGTCGCACTACATCGACTCCATTCGCCGCGCTGGACACGTCACGGAATTCAGCACCAACATGTTCGAGCACTTGCATGGCCCGTTGGTAAAGAGGATCTACCGGCGGTCCAACAAGCGCAATGTAGATGGGCAGATTATGAAGTTCCATGCTAGGCGCATCCCGGACGTTGTGCCGGTGGATGATCCCCTTGGCCGGGACATTGCCATGCGGCAGGTAAACCTGTCTAGTGATTGAATTGCAAGGATATGCATGCATAATGCAATAAATTCGCCACTGTTTGTTGGATGGCCATTGAGACAGGCGCAAGGACTCTTATCAAAGAGTCCTACTTACTCCCTGTGGAGTTACCAGAAGAACCCACCTCCACCAACTGGTTTGCAAGGAAGTGGGCCATGCAACACCCTGTTGCACAAGCTGCCCTCAAGGATGCGCTAGTACGTTATGCAGGATGCGCCCCCGAGATCAGGGTAAGTACTTCGTGGATCATACAATCATTCTTTTCGTGCCCCAAACCCTAAACTGATCACACACTGCAATTGTTGTGCAGGCCCATGCATCGTTGGCCATCCCAGCGGCAGATGATGCCAGCTTCTCAAGGGTTTCTCACTTCGTTCGGGCGACACCTGACTATTTTGAGCGGCCGTGGTACTCGGATGTTGCAGTAGAGGGTGTAAGGTACGGTCGGAGAGAGGAGTGGTACGCAAGGTTGCTGCTGCTGTTCCACACCAAAATCCGTGGAGAGAGGGAGGAGCTGGCTTACGTTAGATATTGGAATGCGTGTGGGGAGGATGCTGCAACTGGATGCACTCGCCTCAAGTGGACGACTGGAGTGTATGCGTACTCCGTGATTCCGCTTGAAGCGCTGCTTCGCCACGTCCATGTGGTGAAGGCGTTCCATCTGGACAGTACCTATCTCCTAAATAAGTATCATATGTGATGCATTTATCTAGTAATAAAATAGGCAGCTTAATTCTACACTGTCAAACTTACTTGAAGTCAAGGCCAAAACAATCCAATCCAAATTGATAATCATTTTGGCAAGCCACGAAAAACCGACAATGTACGACATTCCGAACTTGCTATCCAACTCCAACAAACAAACGCGGTCCGATTTCGGTCCGTGATTGGTCGCGATTTCGTTTCGGAACTTCGCCAACCAAAACACCTGAAATGTACACCCCTTCGAACCCCCTTCAAAAACCCAGGTTTTTTGTGATGGAGAGATGGGACTGAAGCAAAGGGTGGTGTGGGCTGGTCAGTCCCGTCACCCGCACGTGCACGCCACTGCTGCCACCTTTCAAGTGACAAATCCTCATAAAAACGTGCATCCCGGGTGATGACCATGCGCTATGACTCAACATCCACCACACGCCATCCCTTGCTTTCCATGCTCATGCCCAAATGCATGCCCCAACGAGTCTTGCTTGCAAGCTTCCCCTCACGCTCATGCTCAGGAATGAGGTACTGCACCATGCACCCGAACACACGGACCATGGACACATCGGGCTTGACTTTGAACACCACCAAATGAGGGGTCACACCATGGGGCAGAGTGGACTGGTGCACACGGTTTACCACCCACAAGAACTATTGGAAAGCAAAGTGCCACCAGTGTGCTTTCACCCCCATGTGCCCCAACATCACACGCATGCCCTCGGTTACCGTACGGTTGCGGCGTTCAGCCACACCGTTCTGCTGAGGGGTCGATGGGCAAGAAAGTTGACGCAAGATCCCTCGTTGCTTCAGCAGCAATAGGAACTCGTTCGACATAAACTCTCCTCCCCGGTCCGAAAGCAACACCTTCAGCGTCATCCCGGTCTGACGTTCAGCTTCGGGGAGCCATTCCTTGAAGGCAGCAAGCGCATCGCTTTTCAGCTTCAACGTTGTCCCCCAGGTGTAACGCGAGGCATGATCCACGAAAAGAATGTAGTACCTGCTGCCATCCATGGCTGGGGTCTGGAATGGACCGCACACGTCAGTATGGACCAGCCCAAGAACCTGCTCCTCTCGCTCGTCGTGCAGCGGAAATGATTCACGAGTGAGTTTGGCTTTATGGCAGGAGGTGCACGGCATATCCTCACCTCCTTTCTCCAGGTCCATACCGAACACGCCACCGCTCGTGGCTGTCCGCTTCACCGCATCGAAGTGGACGTGTCCAAGGCGAGCGTGCCACAGGTTGGGCGTTGCCTTGGAGCCTACCGCGTACGTCTTGAGGCTGGCCGCTTCATCCTTAGCTTCCGGCTTGCTTGACGCCACATCAGCAATCTCCTTCGCCGTGCCGTTGCTTGCCGTTGCAGCCGCCGTGCCGTTGCTCGCCGCTCCAGCCGCCATATCGTTGCATGCCGCTGCAGCCACCGTGCTGTTGCATGCCGCTGCAGCCACCGTGCCGTTGCATGCCGCTGCAGCCGTTGCACCGTTCCGTGCTGGCCCCGGTTTCAGGTCAAGGCAGTGAAGGCGATGGCGGTATCGTGCCATTGCAGCCACTTGACCTCCTGATGCGATGATGCGAGTGACACCTTCCTCGGTTTGCAGCTTTGCTCCCTTGTCCAAGAGCTGCCCAGGGGGGACCAAGTTGGCCTTCATTCCTGGCACAAAGAGGACATCATGTAGGGTCACACGCAAGCCGTTAGTGCCCTCCAGCAAAACCTCACCAACACCGGCAACTTCCTGCATTGAACCATCAAACCCTTTGACGGATTTCGTTGCAGATGGGTCACGGATCACCGTGAACCACTCCTTGCGGCCGGTCATGTCTTCGGAGCATCCCGAGTTAAAGAACCACAAGTCCTTGTCGTTGACCAGCAGCTTTGCAGCCGAACACGCGACGGTAAGAGCCACGCCCTTCCCGTCTCCTTCAGCAACGTTCGCGGCTGCCGCGGGCGTTGCATCCTTCTCCTTGCTGGGGCACTTGGCAGCCATGTGTCCCTCCTCATTGCAGTTGTAGCAGCGCCCCTTGAAGGGGCCTCGCTTCTTCTCCCGCTTGCCATCCTTCTTCTTGTCAGTCTGCTCCTTCCCTCCTTTTCCCTCCTTCCCGTTGACCCCCGTTGTAGCAACGATCGTGTTGACAGCGCCCGAGAAAGCAGATGCATCACTGGTGATCTGCTTGTAGCTCTGTTCGATGGAGAGAGTCTGCTCCTCCATCAACACCTCGCTGCACACACGTTCCACCGTCATGTCAGGGCTGGAAATGTCGAGCTTGCGGCGAAGGAACCCGTACTCTGGTGGTAGGCCCTTCAGCACGTGAGCGGCAAACGTGGCCATGTGGACCTCCTGTCCAATGGTCAGCAGCTCCGCTCGGATGGTGCGGGCCCTATTGCAGTAGGATTCCGCCGTCTCATCATCTCCCTTCCTGAGTTGGGCTAGCTGGGTCTGAAGTAGGGAAGCGTGGAGGGCATCACGAGCTTGATAGGTAGACAAGATGTATGCCCATGCCATCTGCCCGGCTTTCTCTTGCTGAGAGAAACCAGCAATAGACATTCGGATGGGTGGAGAAACACAACGATTCAGCACCATGAATGCAAGCATTTGGCCCTTTGCGTACTCCCTTCGTTGCAAGGGGTTGTTCAAGGCCGGGCTTGGTGCTGTCCCGTTGCAAAACTGCCACAAATCAGCGCATTGGAGCTGAGGTCGGATGGCGCTGACCCACGCGGTGAGGTCGTGCCTTCCCTCCAGCAGCGGCGTCATGGAGATATGCTCTACTCCAAACTTGAATTGACCGTAGCTCGTCCCGATCATTCCCGTGTCAATGGTCGGAGCAACAGCTCCTCCTCCAACGCCTACGGCAGTTGGAGCCTCGTGCCCAGCTCCTCCTTCACCAGTTCCTCCTTGCTGGCCGCTCGTAGGTGCATGCTCTGCCGCGCGCTCCCGAACCATGCGTAGTAGTCGACCGTCCACAATGAGGTCGACCTCCTCATCACGCAAGTTAGGGTGGTGCTCACGAACGGACGCCTCCAGCTCCTCACGGGCATTCAGGCCCTCGGCGCTCGTTAACCACTCCATCCGCGGTCACAGCGAGCGTCAGCCACACCAACGTAGGAACGAAGTCACGGGAGGACTGAATCAAGCCGCTAGTTGGATCGACGAAGATAACGCAGCTCTGATACCATGTAGAATTTCACTACTTTAGTAGCTTGATAGAGCTCGGAAGCACGATTCCAACGCACCAAAGATTGCAGGAAACGGTCCACTATAGCCAGAGATACACACAAACATAGCAGTGATAATGACTTTGTTAATTTCTGGTTTGTGCTCTCTGGTTTTATACTAGGACGCAATACAAAAACAAAGCACACAAGAAAGTGTCGACCCGGGTCGCGCGCTGAATTTCGTCGACGCGAAATTCCGAGCCTTGAATTTCGCCGAGCGAATTCCATTGACTGGAATTCCGTAGACGAGAATTTCCGCGACCAGAATTCCGTCGACCACCGACTGTAACTCCCGTGCGAATTCCGTTGACTTCGACACTTCGCTGCCGAGTTTCAAACCGAACGCGACCCGAGATCGATTTCGCCAAAGTGTCCCCAATCTGTCCCCAAACTGTCCCCAATCTGTCCTGCCAAGACACTTTCGGGACACTTGAATCGAAAGGTCTCCAGTTCGAAACTCAAGTGCAGCATAACCAGCCCCTTAGCAGAAACTGTCCTGAATCTGTCCTGAGACACTTTCAGGACAGATTTGAAGGTCACGAGTTCGAATCCCATCGCCGGCAATTTGTTGCTCATGGCAGCATTTCCTTCTAACAATTACGTCATCACGTTCATCGACGCCGCCACACGCTACGTCTGGCACTTCAACCTCCCGAGCCGCGACATGGCTCTCGACGCCTTCGCCGCCTGGCTCCCAGCAGCAGAAGAGAATCAGGGGTGAAGCTAAAAAGCTTCCAGTCAGACGGGGGAGGAGAATACCAGTCACAAAAGTTCAAGGACTACCTGGCAGAACGAGGCATCAAGCGGCTCATCTCCCTTCCCTACGCCCATCAACAGCAAGGCGTGGCAGAAAGGATGAACAGGACTCTCCAGAACACCATGCGCAAGCTGCTACGTGGCATGCGGCTACCCAACCACCAGTGGCCCGAAGCAATGGACCATGCCGTGATGCTGCACAACTTGCTCTCATCATCATCGCTCCCGAACAACGTACCTGCTGTGGACAGGAAGACTGGGAAGCGCAAAAATGTTACGAGTGTTTGGATGTATGGTACAGTACCGACCCCCATCAGCACGAGCCGGCCGATTCTCCCAACGCGCACAGTGGGGAGTACACCTGGGCATCGAAAAACATTACAACGCATAAAAAATCTTCGACATCAACACGAAAGAAATAGTGGCAGCACGTGATGTCAATTTCTACGAAGGACTTACCCTGCCAATGTACCTCGCCAACTTGCAAGAAGGAATCCAGACCTCTCGGACAGATTTCTTGGCAACCGAGCCTTCGCCTCGGCAGAAGACGAAGCTGACTGGGACGAGCAGAACGTGGAAGGAGCCTCGGAGGAAGCCGGACCTCTTCCCTACTGTTCGGTCGACGTCCCGATGGACGAAGAAGATCCTCGCGAAAGCATCAACGCCGACGTCAACTACCACTTCGCCGACAATGGTTACGTTACACCTGCACAAGTCAACACCAACGAAGCAGAACGCGTAGGACCCAATTTCATTCCTGATCCAGAAGCGGGAGATGAAGCAGTCTATCCCGAGGATACAACACTCCCCCGCTACACACAGAGTGGACTCCAACTACTTGGCCTCGTCACAGCAGTCCATGGCACGGCGCCTCCTAAGGAGCCTGCCACCGTTCAGCAGGCTCTGTCGGGGGAGCATAGGGAAAAATGGCGCGAAGCCATGGACAAAGAGCTAAAGGCGCTGGAGGAACGCAACACCTTGAAAGTCGTTCCCATCGGAGTGGCACGCAACAACACAGGTACTCACCGAAAAATGGGTCTTCCGTGTGAAAACAAATGCAGACGGCACCATCGACAAATTTAAAGCACGCTGGGTCGTACATGGCTTCGACCAAGAATACGGACGCGACTTCACTGAAACGTTCGTGCCAGTCAGCCGACACACCTCATTACGGATTCTCCTCGCAATCGCCGCCATGAAGAAGAAGAAAATTCGCCAGATCGACGTCGCCAACGCTTTTCTCTACGCCCCCGTCGATGCTGAAATATTCGTCGAATTACCGCACGGTTCAAACACGAACCCCAACCAAGTCTGCCAGCTGCTGAAGTCTTTGTACGGCATCAAACAGGCCCCGAGACTATGGCAACAGTACTTGCACGCTAGACTCATTCGCATCGGATTTCGCTAGCTATCGCACGACCAAGGCATGTACCGAATCACAAAGGGCACCGACTACATCTTACTGATCGTCTACGTAGATGATCTACTCTACATCGGCTCGACCGACGGTGTCACTACCTGGTTCGAAAGGGAGCTGCAGCAGGATCTCACCCTCACGGTTTCATCCACCGTCACGCAATACCTCGGCCTCAACATTCAGGAAGAAGAAAACGCGATCTACATCAGCACCGCAAAATACGCCGACACCATCGCCAAACGCTTCGGACTCACCCCGACCAGCATCTCTACGCCATACCGCTACATTACCGGAACAAGGAAGGCTCCGTTCCGCTCAAGCCCGCCGGCATACGCGACTACCAAAGAAAGCTGGGATGCCTCCTCTTCGCGGCCGTCACCTGCCGACCGGATCTATCGTACTCTGCGAGTCAATTCACCACCTACCTCAAGAAACTCGAAGCAGAACACATGGCGGAGCTCGACCGCGCTCTTCACTACTTCGTCAGCACTCCAACGATCGGCCTAACGTATCACAAGACCGGAACTACGACACCCAAGTTAATCGGCTACGTTGACGCCGACCACGCCGGCGACTCCGATAACAGGCGCTCGCGCACCGGCTACATCTACCGCTTCGAGCCTATCATCCCATCTCGTGGCAGTCAAGCAAGCAGGAGCTAATCGCCCTCTCCTCAGCTGAAGCAGAATATATCACACTCTACTCAGCCACCAAGGAAGGACTGTACCTTCGCGAACTGCTGGAAGAAGCGAAGCTGGCTCAGTTACCCAGCTTCTCTCTGTTCTGCGACAACCAGTCAGCAATTCGCATCGCCAACAAAAACGGCTTCGCGAACAGGACGAAACACATCGCCCTGCGATACTTCTTCGTAAAGGATGAGATTGAGAAGGGGAGACTCGAGCTGTCCTACTGTCCCACATCCGAAATGGCAGCCGACTACTTCACCAAGAAGCTCGGAAAGCAGAAGTTCGAGTTCTGTATGCTGCTGACTGGACAACGCCACGTCACCAGCAGCGACACTCCAGAAGCGAAGGGGAGTGTTGGAAACAGTAAATCTTAAGCGCTTCTGATGTGTCGAAACACTGATTCATAAACGAAGCAAACAACAGCGCAGTAACGACGAGTCAACCATCGGAGGTTGGCAAGGAAAGGTAACCGCCGGAGGTTACGCGAAGGTCAAAAGGTCACACGACCTTTGACTCGGCAACTACAGTACGACAGCAAGGACAAACAGCTGACTCGTTACTGAGCAGTTGCCCAAGTCTGTTAGAATCTAGCAGCAGGAATGGATGAACTAGCAGCATGCAGGAGTACAAGTAGTAAACCCTAATTGGGTTGTACCCCATATGGGCTACCCCACTACAGCCTAGACAATATGCAGCATATATGTTTGACACACCCCCATAGGCAAAGTGGGGGAGAACAAGGGGTCACACGACCAGTCATGAGAAGCAGAGCAAGCTCAGGGTGGATCACAACATCACCACACACTCTGAGCACAAGCAAAGGGCCACAAGGCCAGTTCACATGCAGAGATATATATGCAGCAATAACAATACAGTGATGACTACCTAGCAAGAGCCAGCATGCAGGTATATATATAGATCACAGTACAAGCAAAGTCTACAGCAAGTGTGGAAACGTAGGCACAAGGCCTAACAGGGTACAAAAGCGCTGATGATCACCAGACGGAAGTGCCTTGGTGAATATATCAGCAGTGTTGGCCCGAGTGGCCACGTGGCGAAGACGAAGCTGGCCTCGCTGCTGCAACTCTCGAGCCAGGAAGTAACGTAGAGCGATGTGCTTCGTTCTGTGCTCCAGTCTGTGCTCCTCACACAAGGCAATAGCTGCCTTGTTGTCAACGTACAGAACTGGAGGAGAACGAGGCCGCTCACCCAAGTCAGTCAGCAGGTAGGTGAGTCAGCGTAACTCCTGTGCAGCCATGGCGGTGGCGTAGATCTCAGCCTCACAACTGGAGCCGAGAACAGAAGACGAGCGTGTAGACCGCCAAGAAACAGAGCCAGAGCCAAGGCTGAAGGTGTAACTCTGTGACGACCGCTGTGTAGTCTGGTCGTCAACCCAAGACGCGTCTGAGTGCCCAGTGAGGACCACCTCACTCCGTCCTCCGTCCTCCAAGCACAGGTAGCGCAACACCCTCTTGGCAGCATCCATGTGCACCTTTCGGTGCCTGCCAGGAGCCACGTAACGAGCCAAAAGACCAAGAGGGTATGCGAGGTCAGGTCGAGTGCAGGTCATCAGGTACATGAGGCAGCCCACTAGCTCTGGGTAAGGACCACTCGGCTCTACGGACTCGTCCGAAGGTGGATCTGAGAGCGAGTGACCTGTAGCCAGAGGAGTGGGCTGTGGGGAGGACCAGGAGAAGCCGAAGCGCTGAAGGACCCGCTGCACCATGTGTGACTGAGTCAGGGTGATGGTGCGGCGTGCTCTGTCCCGGGTGATCTGCAAGCCAAGGTAGCTGCGCAGCTCACCCAGGTCTGTGCACGTGTGTCTCTTCTGCAGCTCCGACTTCACCAGAGCGAGAGCCTCAGTGTCAGCAGTGGCAAAGACCAAGTCGTCGACGTACACGAGGATGTAGAACGGCGGCAGGGAAGTGTCGGTGCGCAAAAACAGCGACGGGTCAGCAGTCGAAGGAGCGAACCCAAGAGCCGCAAGTGTAGTCCTCAGTGTGTCGTGCCACTCACGAGGCGCCTGGCGGAGACCGTAGACTGGCCGGCGGAGGCTCCACTGGGTACCAGGAGGGAACGACCCAGTGAAGCCAGGTGGGCAGCGCAGCCAGATCTCCTTGTGCAGGCTGCCCTGTAAGAAGGTTGTGCTGAAGTCAAGAGAGTGAAGCTCGTAGTCACGCTAAGCGGCAACGTGCAGCAGCACCCGAAGAGTGGTCATCTTCGGGGTGGGGGAGAAGGTCTGGAAGAAGTCAACCCCCCCCCGCTGACTGAAGCCCCTAGCAACGTAACGAGCCTTGAAGACAGGCGGAGAACCCGGCGGCCGCTTCACCCTGAAAATCCACATGCCATCGACGATGTTCGCCCAAGGAGGGGGAACCTCATCGACGTAAGTGCATGTGGACTTCCAGGATGCCATCTCTGCGTCCATGGCTGTCTGCCACTGAGAGGAGTACTCACCCGCGATCGCCTCAGCGTAAGAGCGCGGGGTCGGGATGTCTGGTGCATCCGGGTCTCCCTCAGGGGCAAGCAGCATGGCCATGAGATGAGGCGCAGCAGCCGCAAGACACTCAAGGTCCTCGTGCCTGTCCTCAAGGACGTCCGTGCTAAGAGCACACTCACCCCCGACGGACGGAGGACAGACAGACTCAGACTCAGCAACAAGACTGGCAGTGAAGTCTAGACGACAGGCAGCAGCAAAGTCAACAAGCTCAGCGACCAGGGCAGACGCAGCAGTAGACTCAAACGACGGGTCAGTGACAACAGTGGCTAGCAGACGCGTGACAGTAGGGTGCTCAGCACGAAACCGGTCAGACTCAGGGTCCGCGACGTCAGGCAAAGAGGACGCAGGGGGAGACGGAAGAGGAGTACGCTCCGGAGGAGAGGACCGACGCAGGGCTACAAGGCGTGTGCCGGGGACAGCCGGCTGACGCTGACGAGGAACACGACGAACAGTATGACAAGGACGAACAGGCGAGACAGGACGCGACGCAGGCTCACGACGCTCAGCAAGACCCCCTGCCTGCTCAGTGTAAGGAGAAGGAGCAGGCAGCGGAGAGCCAGGCAGTAACTGTAGACCAGTAGAAGACGGGAGGTCAAGAACCTGGCGAAGGGCAGAGCCAGACGGTGGCTGAGACGACGGAGACGGTGGAGCGAAGAAAATTCGAGTCGGTGCAGTGCTACCAGCACCAGCAGCTCCAGCACCTCCAGTAGCTCCAGCACCTCCAGCAGCACCAGAACCCTCAGCGCCAGCTCCTCCAGGGCCAGCTCCACCAGCAGCAGCACCCCTAGAACCGGCACCCCCAGTCCCAGGGTCTCCAGCCGCAGTGTCCCCAGCAGCAGCACCCGCAGGCTCAGCACCTCCAGCCCCAGTAGCTCCAGTACCCCCAGTACGAGCACCTCCGAGACCAGCACCACTCCCAGCTCCAGTGACGTCAGCAGAAGTACCTCCAGTAGCAGAGCCCCTAGCTCCAGAAGCGCGACCCTGACGGCGACCGTACCAGTCGTGCAGCTGCTGTGAGGTGAGAGGCACACGTGGACGAAGGCGGCCACTCCAAGGAGACCGCGCAACAGCAGACTCAGAACCCTCAGCGTCAGCACCTCTAACAGCTCCAGAACCTCCAGTGCCAGCACCCTCAGCGCCAGCACCTCCAGCAGCTCCAGAACCTCCAGTGCCAGCACCCTCAGCAGCTCCAGAACCCCCAGCGTCAGTACCCTCAGCAGCTCCAGAACCTCCAGCTCCAGCGCCACCAGCACCAGGACCTCCGGCGCCCGCACTCTCAGCAGCAGCAGAGCCTCCAGGAGAAACAGCTCCAGGAGCAGAGTCACCAGCTCCAGCAGCGCGGCCCTGACGGCCAAGGTACCACTACGGAGACGGTCGCTCCAGGGAGACTGCTCACCAGACGCCTCAGCACCCCCAGGTGCAGCACCCCCAGACTCAGTACCGCCAAGCTCAGCACCCCCAGACCCCTCACACTCAGGCTCAGCACCTCCAGGCTCCACACCCTCAAGCTCCGCACCCCCAGGCTCAGCACCCCCAGGCTCCGTACCCCCAGGCTCAGCACCCCCAGGCTCCGCACCCCCAGGCTCAGCACCCCCAGAAGTAGCACCCCGAGCAGGACCACCCTCAGCAGGACCTGAGTCACCAGTGACCTCAACCGGCGCAGTCAAGGGAGGAGGGTCTACCTGAGACACACCTGAAGGAGCAGGACCGGGAGCGGGGAGGGGGTCTACCTGGGGAGCACCTGGAGCGAGGAAGAGCGGTGGGGGGGGGAGCGGGGCAGTGCGGTAGGGGAAGAGACGGTAAAAGGGAACCGACTCGTCGAACGTGACGTCCTGAGACGCAAAGACACGGCGCGAGGTGGGGTGGTAAAACTGCCAACCAGGCGCGTCAGGGACAAAGCCAAGGAAGACGCAGGGAACAGCGCGGGCGGAGAGCTTGTCTGCGGTGGTATCGCGAACAAAGGCACGGGCACCCCAGACCCGGAAACGCGACGCATCGCCAACCTTCCCCATCCACAGCAGTGTGGGCGAGGTCTCCGGTAAGGAGACACGGGGCCAGAGGTTGAGCTGATGCGCGGCGTACCGGACCGCAAACGGCCACAGAAAATGGGGGGCAGCCGCATGGATCATGGAGGTACGAGCGACCTCCATGACTAAGCCAATGCGGCGCTCAGCAACCCCATTCAGCTGCGGAGAGGCCGGAAGCGTGAACGTCTGGCGGATGCCGTGCTCCGCATAGTAGGCTGCCAAGAGGTCGGAGGAGAACTCACCACCTCTGTCAGAGTGCAGACGCAGGACAGGAAAGTCCGACCGGAACCGCTCGCGGAGCTGGAGACGAACAGTGCGGATCCAAGGGATCAAAACATCAGGGACGTCCCCCTTGCTCTGCAAGGGGAAGACCGTGGTGTAACGCGTGTAGTCATCGACGACCAGCAGGAAGTACCGCTCGTGGCCCTATCCACGGACGCGGGCTGGGCCCCACACGTCCAGGTGGAGAGTCTGCAGGGGAGCCTCTGTGGGAGGGAACGAGGAGGAGTGAGGAGCAGCGCGCTGCCGCCCCTCGACGCAAGGAATGCAGGGCGGCGCAGGCGAGGGAGGGAGGGGAGGCAGAGACCTGGGAAGACCAGAAACCAGGGAGCGAGAGTGCATGCCACGAAGGCGCTGCACCGAGGGGTGACCAAGGCGGTGGTGCCACAGGAGGGTCTGGTGCGACAAAGCTCGACACTCGCAGGGGGCCGCTAGCTGACCTGACGCAGACGCAGACGCAGCTACCTGAGGGGACGCAGTGGTCAGTGTGTACAGACTCGAGCCAGGCGCACGGGTAAACGTGGCCAGGTGTCGGCCCGTCCGAGCACACGTACAGTGAGTCACTCGCTGACTCGCAGGAGTGAACTGGTCAACCCCGTGATCCTGGAGGTCAGCTCCACTCACCAAGTTCGTAGAGAACGAGGGGAGGTAAAGACCTGACAGCGAGCCAGACGGGGCGGCCGGACACGGCAGAACCGTGGAGTAGTGGGCAAGGACTGGACCCCCAGAGGGGTCCGCCAGGGAGACCGGAACTGGCCGACTGAGCGGCGTGAGTGTGGTGCAGTCGCGAAAGAAGGAGCGGGAAGCTCCTGAGTCAAGGGTGAAGGTGTGCAAGACCGCAGCAGGCGCAGTACCAGAGAGAGCAGACTCACCAGCACCAAGAGCAGCAACCTCACCAGCACCTAGAGCAGGAGCCTCACTAGTACCGAGAGCAGCAGGCGCTATACCAGGGTCAGGCGGTACGCACAGGTAACAGGCACGGTCAACACTAGTAGGCAATGCATACATGGCAGTGAGAATAGCATCATAGTCAAGAGCAAAGATATCTACCCTCTGTCCAAGCAGCTCCGGCCAGGTAGGGAGCTCAGCCTCGTCGCCAAACACGGTACGCCAGGCGTCGCTCAGACGGGCGAAGCAGCGGGACTGTGTGTGACCAAGCGTCCCACAAGGCTGACCAGTCCTATCACCTGTGCGAATGACGTACGGACAGCGAACTGTACGCGTAGACCTGCTACTCTGAGCGTACCACTCATGGGACGTAAGTGTCTTGCGTGGACGCCGCTGCAGCTGCAGCTGGCCACTGCCAGACGCCCCCAACTGACCAGCTCCAGGGCGACAGCTACGACGGCTACCGCGACAGCCCCAACTAGTATACCACTCACTAAGCTGCTGGGGCGTGAGAGACTCGCGTGAACGTCGCTGGAGCTGCATCTAGCCACCTCCTAGTAGCAGTAGTAGCCGCAGCAGCTCGGGCAGGGCAGGCGCGGCAGGAAGGAAGGCAAGCAGGCAGGCAGGCAGGCAGACAGGCCGGCAGGCAGGCAGGCAGACAGGCAGGCAGACAGGCAGGCAGGCCGGCAGGCAGGCCGGCAGGCAGGCAGGCAGGCAGGCAGGCAGACAGGCAGGCAGGCCGGCAGGCAAGCAGGCCGGCAGGCAGGCAGGCAGGCCGGCAGGCAGGAGCTCACCAAAGGCTGGAACGGCAGGTGTTCGCCGGGCGAGAAGGGCCGGCGCTCGGCGGGCGGCGACCAGGTAGGCGAATGACGGCGGCGACGGCGGGGTCGCAACAGCGGCTGCAGAGTAGGGCCGCAGCAGCTGCAGAGGCAGAGTGGGGCCGCGTCAGCGGCAGGTCGGGGCCGCGGCAGCTGCAGGGCGGGGCCGCATCAGCGGCAGGTCGGGGCCGAGGCAGCTGCAGGGCGGGGCCGCATCAGCGGCAGGTCGGGGCCGTGGCAGCTGCAGGGCGGGGCCGCATCAGCGGCAGGTCGGGGCCGAGGCAGCAGAGGGCCGCGCGCGGCTTGGCGCAGGCTGCGCGGACAGCGCGCTGGGCTGCTGCAGGCCGCGCGCGGGTCGCGCGAGGCAGTAGTGGGCCGCGCGCGGCTCGGCGCGGGCTGCTGCGGGCCGCGCGCGGGCCGCGCGAGGCAGTAGCAGGCCGCGCGCGGCTCGGCGCGGGCTGCGCGCGGCTCGGCGCGGGCTGCGCGCGGCTCGGCGCGGGCTGCGCGGGCTCGGCGCGGGCTGCGCGCGGCAGCAGCGGGCTGCGGGATCGGCGGGCTGCGCGCGGCAGCAGCGGGCTGCGCGCGGCTCGGCGCGGGCTGTGCGGGCTCGGTGCGGGCTAGCGCGCGGCAGCAGCGGGCTGCGCGCGGCTCGGCGCGGGCTGCGCGGGCTCGGTGCGGGCAGCGCGCGGCAGCAGCGGGCTGCGCGCGGCTCGGCGCGGGCTGCGCGGGCTCGGTGCGGGCAGCGCGCGGCAGCAGCGGGCCTGAAGGGCCTGTAGGGGCGGCGCGCGGGCCTTACGGGCCTGCAGGGGCAGCAGCATGAGGCAGCGCTAGGGCTGCTGGACGGCGCGCGTAGTGCAGCACGTCACAAGGCAAGGCAAGGCAGGCAGGTACGTGGGGTAGCGCGGTAACCGCAGCGGTAGGTGGGCCCGAAAAAAAAAAAAAAAACGGTCCTACGGACCTTAGTGCTCTGATACCATGTTAGAATCTAGCAGCAGGAATGGATGAACTAGCAGCATGCAGGAGTACAAGTAGTAAACCCTAACTGGGTTGTACCCCATATGGGCTACCCCACTACAGCCTAGACAATATGCAGCATACATGTTTGACAAAGTCGTCACTGTATCGAATTGCAACAGCAACAGTAAAACGGTTATCCTTTCATATTCCTTGTAATCTTATAAAAATGTAAAATTTTGAAAGTGTGTAACACTTTCCAAATTTGTGTATGGTGAATAGCGAAGCGAGTTGTACCGAAGCAAAGGCTTCGGCGAACCGCTAATTCCCCCTCTTTTCGGTACAAAAGTTCCCCCTCTTTTCGGTACAAAAGAGGGGTGAAGGCCATTTGGCCTTCACCCACGTTTTCATTTCGAAATTTCAACTTTCAAGTTCGGATTTTCCGTCCAAGCTGGCGAAGATCAAGACGCTTCCCCGCTTCACTTCTCCGTCGACACTTCTCTCCGATATTCTCGAGCGGAACCTCTCAACGATGGCGCCGACTACTGTCAACAATAGCCCCGGGGCTACCGACGCTCCTTCCCGTCCTTCGGCGGGGCTTGAAAAAACGCCCAGGGAAACCAGCGCCGAGAAACGCAAGCGCCCTGTGTCAAACATTATATGTTTATATGATTGTAGGCTGTAGTGGGTTACACCTTAGGGGGTACACTAGATTAGGGTTTCCTACTTGTATCCAACTTTGTGCTAGTACAGTCATTCCAGTCCGTTCATTCTGACATGGTTTCAGAGCAGGTCCTTCGCTAGGACCTAAGTTCTCTTCGGGCCCACCACTACCTACTACCTACTAGCGCCCTCGTGCGCCCTACTATCGGAGCGCGCTTTAGCGCCTCCCCCCTTAGCGCCCTCGCGCGCTTCTCCTTTTTTTTCCGGCCCCGCTGGCCCCGTCGATCGCGCCCCGCTTAGAGGCCCCGCGGCCCCGTCGCGCCCCGCTTAGAGGCCCCGCGGCCCCGTCGCGCTCTGCTTAGAGGCCCCCCGGCCCCGTCGCGCCCCACCTAACGGCCTCGCGGCCCCGTCGCGCCCCGCCTAGAGGCCCCGCGGCCCCATCACGTCCCGCTTAGAGGCCCGCGGCCCCGTCGCGCCCCACCTCACGGCCCCGCGACCCCGTTGCGCCCCGCTTAGCGGCCCCGCGGCCCCGTCGAGCCCCGCCTAAAGGCCCCGCGGCCCCGTCGCGCCCCACCTCACGGTCTCGCGACCCCGTTGCGCCCCGCTTAGCGGCCCCGCGGCCCCGTCGAGCCCCGCTTAGAGGCCCCGCGGCCCCGTCGCGCCCCACCTCACGGCCCCGCGACCCCGTTGCGCCCCGCTTAGCGGCCCCGCGGCCCCGTCGAGCCCCGCTTAGAGGCCCCCGCGGCCCCGTACCGCCCCGCTTAGCGGCTCCGCGCAGCCGCGCAGCCCGAACCGAGCCGCGCCGCCCTACCTGACCCGAGCCGCCCCGCCCGACCGAGCCGCGCCGCCCGTACTAGCAGCCCCGTCGATACTGCTGCTCCTACTACTGCTCCTACTGCTACTACAACTGTTGCTACTGCTGCTACTGCTACTGCTGCTGCCACTATGGCTAGTCCTCCCGTACTTGCTTTCGATGCTGAGGGCCGCCCAGTGAAGTTTGACACCTGGCTAGATGACCTGCATCTCTTCCTACAGCTCACTGCCAAGGAGGATATTTCGCTGTACGATCATGCCCTCGGTCACGCTACTGCCCCTCCTACCACTGCAGACAGCACTCAGCGCTCACAGTGGCAGACTCGTGACGCCCACGCTCGCTTCGCTATTCGTAACTCCCTACCGATCGACGAACGCGAGCACTTTGGCCAGCACAAAACTGCTAAGGACCTATACACTGCTGTAGTCGCTCGCTACTCCTCACCCGCTTCTGCCACACTAGGCCGCCTCACCCTCCCCTACCTGTTCCCCGACCTGGCCTCCTTTCAGACAGTTGCTGACCTCATCACCCACCTTAAGACTAGTGAGGCCCGCTTTCGCGCTGCTATGCCTGACGAGTTCCTTACTAGCAACCCCCCCCCGCTCTGGATCACTCTCTACCACATAGTCACCCGCCTCCCCAAATCCCTGCGCACAGTCAGGGACCACTTCCTCTCTCGCTCCCCCACTGAACTCACCATTGCCCTCCTCGAGAAGGAACTGCTTGCAGCTGAGGCGAGCATCGTCGCTGTAGGCACCTCTCGTGGCGACCCCCGCACCCCGTTCTTTGAGGGGTGTTCCCCTTCCCCTCTCCTCCCCTCTGTCGCCTCTGCTGCTGCTGTCGACCTCCTTGGTGCTGAGAAGGTCGGGACCGCGTCTGCTTCGAGCGGGCGCCGCAAGAGCAAAGGGGGCAAGGGTGGAGGTGGCGGCGGAGGAGGTGGGGGTGGAGGCGGTGGGAGTGGAGGAGCGGCTGGGGAGGCTAGTGGCGGCAGTGGGGGTGGTGACAGCAGCGGCGGGAGTGGCGGCAGGGGTGGAGGCGGCAGCGGAGGCGGAGGTGGTCGTGGCAGCGGCAGGGGTGGAGGTGGCCGAGGCGGTGGCGGCGGCGGTGGTGGTCGTGGAGGCGCTGGCGGTGGCCAGAGTCAGCAGCCCGCCCCGTCGCTTCAGGCCGCCCGTGAGTGGTATGCGCAGCGTGGCTTTACCTGCACG